GCAAAACTATGCGGCCGCCACACGCCGGGCGAATTTATGAATGGGAGAAGCCTATTGACAGATCGCGCGTCGATAACTCTCTCGTTAATGGCCCGTGATGGTGGGTGAGCGGCTCGATGCGCCGCAGGAGGACGAGGAGGCGGAGGAGGAGTAGCTGCTGGAGGCCAGGCCGACCAAGGAGGGTAACGGGGGAAACTTGGACTCCGCTTTATGCCGCCGGTGCTCGCGGCACACGCCGTGTTCCCCGCTTGCTACCAGTCTTTGTCCTTTGCCTGCTGAAAACCTTCCACCGAGTGGTTAGCCACCGATCCTCCGGCTGGTTCAGCTTTCGCAATTTCTAGGTGACGCGGCATGTTACAGCGGAGATGCGTTACTCGAGTATTCCAGCTTCGGGCAACGCAGCGAAGTCCCTCTTGCGTCGTTCAGCTAGTCCTATCGCGGTGATTTTACAAGTTTAGGGATAGGAATCGTTCGTAGCAATGGGGAACCGATCCGAGACCCAGCGTCGATGCTTAGACCGCGTTTAAGCTCGAGTGAGATTGTACGGCCGGTCAGATTACGCGAAATCGAGCATTGGCTGAAGTAAAGCAAGAAGAACGTTCACCGTAGGCGGTTTGATCGGGCGATAATACGCTGGAAGAAGCGCGTGTTCGACGCTCGATCGGCGTTTGTCGGTCGAAGCAAATCACCGATACGACCTGTCTCCATCCGGTGCTTTCGATCGTCGTTTTATCTCACAGAACCGGAAAAAGTGCGATAACTAACCGAGCGCTGCAAATTAGGAATCGTTCGTTTATTCCGTACAATTACGACGGACAAGCGCGTAATCTCTTCGCTTATCGAATAATCCGAATAGATCGCTATTTTGAAAACCTGTTGGCCACGGTAGTAGCGAAAAATACTGCAGACTATATTTTTCGACGGAGTTGCTGCGTGCAGGTCTGTTTTCGTCTTGCTATTATCGAACATTCGTTTGATGTGGTTAGAAATCCGTGAAAAACGCCTGCTGCTCCGCCGTGGCCATTTAGCGAACGATCGATATTAATCTACTATCGTAGAAAAAGGTATTGCAGTCTCTCAAAGATAACTTCTCGCGGTAATGGTAAAGCGATGTAGTATAGAAGACCGTCGTGTCGCTTTGTGTAGTTGCTAGAAGAAGATTTTCGTCCCGTGTGATCGCACTAAGTTCGAGCTAACCAACAACAAGATCACCTTACAAGTCTGTTTTATTCGAATCCGGACGAATCTTGGCCAGGTTGAAGTGTTTTTGGCACGTCCGATTTTATTAAACACGTGCCAGAAATGTTACTTTAGCCGATCGTTCCGGTCGTTGATCTTTGTGCATTCGATCTACGATATCGCATAACCTAGAAATATTTGCGTACTTTATGAAAAATGTATCTTGTACGATCGAGGTATCGCGTTGGTTGTGTTTTGTTTCAAAAAAATTGCATCACTTGCGTTAATAAATGGGAAGAAATTAATTAATTAATTAATTATGGACGTAGAGTAGTTGCAGAGATATTTTGGTTAGAAAGCAAATGTCAGAAATTTGTCTGCGTGTCGTGTGAGAAATAAGGAACTCTCGTACGAACATTCTGACGTCTAGGAACGTTATAACGATCAACGAGTATATGAAATATAATGATTAAGAGTAACATTCTACTTCGCAATTTTAAATATGTATGTAGCTGTACGACTATCATGAGAACGAAAGGGCTAGTCGAGAGACACAGGTGTGTGATTCTGAAATGTATAATTCCCTAGGATGAGCATGTATAATTGCGAATAAGTATTACACGAGTTTATGGAAAATCCTTCCACGAATAATCAACCTTATAACGCATTTGCCTCAGAAAAATAAAAAAATAGTCATCTGAATTTGCATCCAAAGCGATAACGATACACTTTGAGTAAAAAAAAGAATCGCAGAATTATCGCAACTGAATTGAGATACTAATGATTGTAACGTCTGAAAATCGAATGTAGGTGTAAGATTTTTTTTTATTTATTTATTTATTAAAATTACAATCAATTCTCGCGTTGAGAATTTTCAGTAATTTTTCTGGCGACATGGCTGATTATTTATAATAAGTTAATACTTATTATAGATAAGTATAATTTATGAGTAAGTAGTAGGTGTAAGATGGCCGTAAACCTTCGAAAATAACAAGAAAATGCTACTCTGATGCATAAAATTCTTCCATTAATTTGGATTTTTCCACGGAGAATAAGAAAACCGAGTCGTTCGCGGAAACGACAAGAAAACGTTATCCTTTCGCACAAATAATCGATCGATTTCTTGACCATGTCCGTCGTCGAGATTACGCGTCAGTTTTAGTCGATCGATCGGTCGAGCGTATCGAAAGAAAATATCTCACTTACATAACTGTACCAAGCACTATCTGTCACTAGCAAAGACGTTACTGTTTTCTGCCAATATCTTTGGAATCTCTGCTAGAGCTTCCTTTCAGTTGTAAAAAAAAATTATCACGATAGAGACATTCGCGAAAACGTGAGAATTTTTTCGTTTCGATTAAACAGTTGGTAGAACTGCCGTGTGACACTGTCCGACGGACGCGTTCGATCGGTACACTCAATCGCACTGGACGTGGTATAACCTCAAAAATACATAAAATCGTAGTACATTGTGTATAAGTTCTCATATATTCTATGAATTATTGAAATTCGACGTGAAAATATTCCAAGGATTGCAGGGTGAAAAGGATACCCTTTCGTATACGAACAGAGATCAGTAGAAATAACTAGAAATTTGCGGAAAGATCACGTCGCCAAGATGTCTCTGAATACAGTATGATCCAAAGACGAAGAAATTCTTACGACGCACTTCCTGCTGAATAATAAAATGATAAAGGTATCAAGAACGCTGAAGTCACAGATTCGACCGGTTTTGTCACCGTCGGACAGAGTGCGGTCGTCACGCGAACGCGGCTGTTTCTCGAGATACGCCTATCACGCATTGGCATTTCACTAACACCGAGCATTTTAGAGCATGTTCATAGCTTGTAGGAAAAACCAATCCACCACAGAGATATACCGTATAGCCATCTAACCGATCCACATTGAATGTTTTGTGCTCTAGCTATGACGGCCAGAAGACAAAGGTTAAAGTACAAGTTTTGCAAATTCTCTATGCCATGACGAAATATGTTTCTTAAATTTCGACGACGATCCAGCGGTTGGAAATGTAGACGATTACAGTTCGGAAGAGGTTACGGTCGTTCGGTTGATCTAACGAAACCGGGCCATCAAATGCATTACATACATTCGGCGAGTGAGAAGGGAAAAAACTAGTCGTTCCTATCGCCTCCACGCGATCGGTGAGAGAGAAAAAGAGCAAAGGTAAATATATGCTTTTAAAAACATCCCTTAGAACAGAGTCGGGTTGTTGTCGTCGCGGTAACCATGACGACGTTGCCCCCTTGATGGTTGGTCATAATCGTGCCCCTTTCCCCCTTCGCCCGCTGCTTAGTGAACGTCGTACCCTTCTCCTTGCTCCTCGCGACGCACAGGCGACGCTAGGTTTCCTCCACAGCGCTGGCCAAGTAAAGAAGAGGCAGCCAGCCTCGGAGCCTCCGGTCACCTTTCTCTATCTCGCTCTCTCTCTTTATCGAGACTCTTTCTTTGTCTCTCATATCGCGTGTGTATATATATACACACATATATATGTATATATACACGTTTCTCCTTCGTGCTCTTATTCCTTCCCTATCGCTGCTTCTTTCTCTCTCGCTCGTTACGCTGCCCCCCTCTCCGCACGTAGCGACCCACGACCCACCGTCGTTACCACAGCCACCTCGACCGTTCCCCACCTCTCGCCATCCTAACTACGCCACCCAGCATCGCGGCCGCCGTCCTACCTCCTCCACCTCTCCACCCCCAACCTCCTCTTACTCTGCTCCGCTGCTGCTGCTGCTGCCGCCTCTATACCCTCCTGCTCCCTCCGCCGCTCGTCCCCAAGCCCAAGGAAACGCGGGATCGCTTCGAATTCAAACTACTGAACACGAGGTTACCACGCGTCAAATCTGACACTTCGGCACGACGTTGATCCGCCGCTGTATCAATTTCTACACCATAGTGGAAATAGCGTCGACGACGTGAGACCTCGCCGATTCTCACGTACACAGAGTTTCCTAATGTTATGCTCCGAAAGAGAGAGAGAGAGAGAGAGAGACAGAGAGAAAGAGAGCGAGAGAGAGAGAGAGAGAGATGACGAAACACGACGAAAAAATTTGCGGCGATTATTTGTATCGATTCCGATGTCGACGCATGAAAAAAGAATCAACGAACGAGTGTTTATGGTTTTTCTTAGCACTCGAGAATGCCCGGTACGATTCAATGACTCGCAGCCGACGGACGATTAACACGGTTTCGCAGTATGATTATACCGGTTGATGCAATATTTTCGATCGATTTGTACGATCACACACAGGATGAGAAGAAATCGCAGAGGCTAGGTGATAAAATAGTTTCCACGGAGATTCATCGCCGTGTCTGCCGTTCGTGTGCGCCAGCCTTTCAAGGCGTTACGAGAAGTTAACTTTCAATTGCAAGTTGCGCTCGTCGCTGCGGGACGAGACGTTCTCTTCGGCGATCAGAGTTGCGTGTAACGAATCGTATATCCGAGGTATCCGTCGACGAGACAGAAAAATCACACACTGAACCACTTGTACTAAGGCACGGTTGAAATACACGGCTCTCGTTCGATGGCTGAGAAACGTCGCGGCGAAACGAGGATAAAGTCCCTTCGCGTAACGAACACCGAACTCGAGGAACGGAGCAACGTATAAATTTTTCACAGCAAGCGACACACAACCACCTCGTAGCCGTTGTGATGTCGTGTTCACGTAACGCTCTCTTGGCTGGCCGCACAAGAATGTTAGAGGCAGGCGAACACAGGCCGGCACAGTTTTCGAAAGGGGGAAAAAAAATTGGTGGAGAAAAAAGAAAAAGAAACTGACGTAGCACTTTTCACTCACCTGACTAACGTCGCACCACATTATTATTTCGCTAGCACTGACGACAGCATCTTGGATCGCTCGTGTACCATACACAGTGTAGCGCAATGGTTTTTTGTTTTCAGTGAAGAAATAGTACGTGAAATCGAAGCTCCACCGTCGGTGTACGCTCCGTGAATACGCTCTGTTCGTTTTCTCTCTCACAGTCTCACGAAATGCACTCTCACGATTGCGGATACATTCGTCGCCGTCCGCTTGTGCTTCACGTTTTAGAATACCGCCTGTCTAGCTCGTCGAGTAACACCACACGATCACTTCGAGTGAACGACACGACTCTCACCGACGAGCCCACTAGTGACTGGTTGGCCATGCAAAGCATTACTGAATACTCTGACAACAGTTCTCGTCATGTACCGCCGCTCGGTTTTCCCCCGAATGAGTGTTCGACTGTTTCCGTTGAACTTCGGCCCACCTGCACTCTAGCACGACGGCACGGCACACAGTGCCGTAGCCTCGTCGCGTCGAGCCCTTTACCTCTCCTCGTGTCTATCTTCGAATCGCTTGCTACTATCTTCTTACATAAAACTTACGTCTTTTCTGTATTAAAAAATCAGTGTATCCACGCTACGAATTACACCGAAGTAGGAAAATAGCGTAAAAATAAAACTGCTCCTACCGATTTCTGCTATCGTAACTTTTATTAAAACAAACTGAATTATTTTTGATTCGTATCGATCGTTATATAACGTATATACTGCGCGTAGGGATTTACGTTACATTATTATTGTATCGTAGGAAATTGATATTTCCTAATGTCGGTGAAAAAAAAAAAGAAATTATGGAAAAGATCACCTCTTGAATGAACGTAAATTAAAGGGTCCTGGCTATTCTCCAGCTTGTAAAGTTGTAATAACGGGAGCGTGGCGGGTACTTTAATGTTCGCGAAGAAAGTTTCAGAATTTATTTTTACACGCTACCGGTTGTCCGCGTGTTGTCGAAGTAACACGCGCCATTGTGTATATTTTGTTCATACAAAATCATGCGGAATGAATTTTATGAATATCGACGCGCGATCATACCGATGATTTAGATGTTCCATCGAATAATTTTTTTTTTTTTCGTGCGCAACGGCGCCGCCTCCGACAATACGAATCCATTAGAGCGTTAGCTAAATTGTTTCGATATATCTATCAAAATACGCGTGAGAAAATTAAAATAGTTCTGCGCGTTTCAATGATTTACTACGCCGACCGATTGGATTTCGAATTCAATAAATTATTTTTAAAAGCCATTGTACATCGAAAAGCGAACAGCATATTGTCGACATTCGACCGGTGGTAGATTTCGTACGGGCGGAAGGGTGCGTTCTATTCACGCCACGTAAATTAATTGTATAATTGATATTGAATATCCTCGGATTGTTTATGCCATTCAGGTTGCTCATACAAAGGAAATTCATTGTTTAAATGTATGATTTTGAAATGTGATCAATGCTTTTATATAACCTGATTTATATTCTGATTTATGATGCGTGTGTGACATTAAAAAACCGCAAAAACTAACTAGCATCGGTGGAACGCACTTGTTCAAGGCGGAAAACACGAGGGAAGGGGAAAGAGGCCACGTGCCCTTAAAGCCTTGCCAAAGAAAGTGAGGGTATGGTATTAAGATATTTAAAGTCTCTGTGTCTATAGATTTGAAGACCCTGTATGTTTGCATTTACTAAATATTCCTTTTTCGTCTCTTTCATAGAATCAGCTTTATTTTCTCTAATTACGTACAAGATTCGTCGGAAAGCAGGGTGTTTTCATAGAAATTTTTTCGTATAAAACTGTTTGCACTAACACCAAGGTGAAAAATTGTTCTGCGCGAGAAAGTGCACGATAGCCTGGTCTCGCTCGATGAAAGTTACGGGAGAATGGATTGAGCTACGATGAAAAATTTGATCCAGCGCAAAAACTCAAAACGACTTAGGCCATTCGATAGGTACTACCGAGAACTATTTCGCGAAGCTCGCACTTCTGGCGTCGTTTATCAGCAAGTTTCTTACGTCGTTGCGGTCGAATCGTATACTACTATCGAATGATATAAAATCCTAACTAAAAACTATCCAACTGTATCGTACAATTCCATGCCCCTGTAATACGATAATCTGAAAATTTGCTCGATTTCCTAATAGTCAGCGATTTATCAAAACGAGCACATCGTACGATTCAATATTTAAAACGTAATCACGTACACGCATAAGCAGAAATATAAAAATTATACGTGTAAAAAATATTTTCCAATAGTCGCATAACGAACGTGTAAAATTATTTACGAGCGAGAAACTGTAATATTTTTAGCGCGATTGTAAATACAGAAATAATTCAAGCGTTCGATACGCAGTGGAAACCGTGGCTCGATTTCGATTTCGAGGCTACGAAACGGGGAACTCGTAGACACCGGGGCCCCCGAGTACGAGGGAGTCTGCCCA